AGTAAGGTTGGTAAATGTAAATATTTTGTTTTATATCGATTTCAACTAGTTATGAATAAAAATAATACACAGAAATGGAAGGTTAGTAAGTACAATGATCAATTGTTTGAATATTTTCAACTTCAGTGATTAGATTTAGAACGTTTCATGTCTGCCAAATAATGTCCCAAAAACGTTTCATTGTTTTTAAAACGTTTTAGAAACATAGAAAGTTCTTGGAACGTTATTTGGCAGACATGAAACGTTCTAAAAATGTTATTAGAACGTTTTTAAAACAATGATGGTTTTTTTTACCACTGGGATGTTTTATTATCCAGACAAGACTATTTAAGAATAATTCAAGAAGTGTGTGGTGCAAAAGTCAAACAAAAAAATAAAAGTAATATTGATTTTCGTCGATTAAAACGCAAGTTGACGTAATTACCGTTGGTGATGAAAAAAAATTAATTTCACCTCGAATTTATTTCACCCCCACAGCACCGAAACTTTCCTGAAAGATTAAAGGTATTATATTACCTCTGCCTTGAAATACATAGTCTTGTACATTGATTCAAATTTTCTTAAAAAGTAAGCAGCAATTTCTTTTCCCCAAGGAGTTTGATAAAACGTCTCAAGTTTGAAATGGGGATCCAAAATTAAAGCTGCACAATAGACCCAATTGCTCCTGTTATAGTGCTTCATTAACTTTTTCTTTGCTTCTACCAATGCTTCCAAAATACACTTGTCTGTCCACTTTTGAAGACGCAGGTATAAATGAAAACAATTCCCTCTTTTCCTTTTATATAGTACAATTTTTTCTCCTCTTTTATCAAAAGCAAATAACATAAGAATACATTTTGTCCTTTACATATATATAGGAAAAATTTAACGCTTTTTGCACTCTTTCTAATCCTCAGTTCGAAAATCCGGAAAAATTTTTAACTGTGCAGTTCAGAATCAAAACTGTAAACTTTGCAACATGAGTCATAAAAAATGTTATCATCATTATTTTTTTGTAATTAGATGATTGCTATGTCAAACTCATTGATAATAAATAATGTGTTGACTGTTTGTTTGGTTAAATTTAAATGCGAATTGTATTTCTGCAGAATAATTGTTTTAAAAATTGTTTAATATTACAAAGTATATTTTTTTTGCAGACATTAAACGAAGATATGATTACTTATAAGTTTCATGCCTTCGTTTTACGTCTGCCAAAAAGTATAAAACTTATAAGATTCGTACCTTCGTTTTATGTCTGCAAAAAATATATACTTTGTATTATTAAACAATTTTTGAAACTATTATTCTGCAGAAATACAATTCGCATTTAACCAAACAAACTGTCAACACATTATTTAATATCATTGAGGTTGACATGGCAATCATATAATTACTAAAAATTTATCCTGTGAGAAGTTCCTACTTTATGAATTCAAAAGAATTTTATTCTTTATCAAATAATAAAACGTTTTTCATGGATTTCTCCAATACGGGAACAGGTAGGACTTTATTACAAATGGATTTTTTTTATTTTTAAGCGCGCAGGGAGTAGGAGAGACCGGGGCTAAAAGTGCCGGAGGTAAGTTGTGCCTATACGAATATCACAAAAACAAAAACAAAATTTTTTTAAGAGAAAATGAGAGAAGTATTGTTTTACTCGTGCGCATCTTTGGGTACTATTCTAATTTTGTCAGGACGTCTTACGTCATATAATTGTCCAGCACGGCCATCTTGCTTGATTTAAGTATCGCTTTATTTTCTTTTTAACAAAAAGAAATAAATAATTTTTTTCTTTTTCTTTTCGTTCTTCTTTTCTTAATAACTTTTTATTCTGTCGTGGCACAAACAACTATTAAATGAAAGTTAACCCTCCATTCATACAAACATGTATCACGATGAGGCAGAAGGTTTTACAACCCTTCCAATCCTTGACCCCATTGAATCAGACACGGAAATGGTATTAGCAGCTGAAAGCTTGATAAATATACACAATCGAATAAAACAAACAACGGAGCAAAACCAAAAGTTTTAACACAATCGAAATTTAATAATTCAAATCAATCAGAAACGCAAACACACTCCCCTCTTTATTATGACGACACTTTAAAATCTAATTTTCCAGGAAAAATTATTGATATTAACCGCAGTGGTTTCGGCAAGGTAAGAGTTATATTAAATTCAGGTAAAGCTGCCAATCAACTCCTTAAAGACGAATCGCTTTCAGCCAGGGGTCTTTGGTTCCTGCGAATTTTGTATCCTGTCAGGGTGTCATGAGTAACGTTCCAGAGGACATTACAATTGACGAAATTCTTCAAAATGCTGAAATTGTAGGCCCTCATGTAAGAGATATTAAAATAATTCAAGCTCGTCACATGAACAAAAAACATTCGATGATGATAAAAAATTGGTAAAATATGTTCCAACTAAAACTGTACATCTCATATTTTCAGATACAATTTTTCCCCAAAGAGTAGCAATCTACAAAGGTTCTAGTGAAATTCGACCTTATATTCCCGATCCTCACATGTGTTTAAAATGCTACAGATTCGGACACATTGCCAAATGCTGACGTTCAGATCCACGTTGCCAGTTTTGCGCATCAAAAGACGCCCCCAACACACAATGGTACAATAGTGTGGAACTATAATGATCTACATCTATATTGAAATTACCCATATATTAGTACGAATGTAGGTAAAATGCATAATTTTTTCTTGAAATCTTTTCGGTGTTATAAATACTAAAAAAAGAAAAAATTTTCTTGATGTACATTCAGACGCAGAATTTTATCAGCTTTTGAACCATCTAAGTTACAAGTCTCTAACTTTCTTCTAACTAACCCATGTTTTGGACATGGTTAATACAATGGTTGATTACACTAGATATGGAATAACCCATTCCTAACCTAACTTAAAATTGTCAAATACATGTAATGATCATACTGGAGACACCGTAGTCAATTTGAGATTAAGTTTTTTCTGTGATATAGAGAGATATATGGGTTATCCCATGGGAAAAGACAAATGACTTAGTCTACTCGTGATTTTAAGAAATCACAAAGTTATAGGGGTCAAAGTTTAGCATTTTTTATGTAAAATCCAATGCCAAGTGGCTCTTTTTGATATTTTCAAAATGGTGGCCACCACAGACACATATTTGATACAACTTAACAATTTTTTTTGACCAACGCCTTCGGTGGAATTGTGCTATTGTACACTAGTCACCAGTGGAGGAATGTACTACATTCCACCACTGGTTGTTTGGTCAGTGGAGGAATGAGAAATACTGAGAGTAGAGTGGGGATACCCACTTGAAAAGATTCCCCGGAAAGTGCCCCCTGGAGATTCCATCAGAATTCCATCGGAATTCCGATGAAATTCCAAAGAATTTCCAATGAAATTCCGATAGAATTCCGATTAATTCTTTTTTAATTTTTAGAGTCCTGCGTTAAGAAAATTATTAATATATAAAATAGAATTTTTATCATAGAAACTTTACTAAAAAATTTTATTTTTTATAAAATTTTATTTTAGTGTATGGCTCAAAAGATTAAAAAAATCGTATTTACGTTGGAATTCCGATGAATTATCATAGAAACTTTCTAAAAAAAATATATTTTTAATTAAATATTTACTTGACATCGTTACAAAATGGATTATGTATTAAAGAATTCGTAAAAGAAAAACAGAAATCGAATTCAAACAATGTTGTTTAACTTGACAGATCGATTTAATTTCGATTAATCGATTTCTAGCTGTGCTGATAAATATTTCATAAAAAATAAAATTTTTTAGTAAAGTTTCTATGATAAAAATTCTATTTTATAATAATAATAGTTTTCTTAATGTAGGACTCTAAAAATTAAAAAATAATTAATCGGAATTCCATCGGAATCTTATCGAAATTCTATCAGAATATAATCGGAATTCCGCCGGAAATTCTTTGGAACTCCGCTGAAATTCCGACGGAATTCCGTTGGAATTTCCGACGAAATTCTCATGGAATTTCCAGGGGGCACTTTCCGAGGAATCTTTCCAAGTGGGTAAAAGGCGTAATAAAAAAAGCAAAACAAATAATAGATATTAAGCAACTAACTAAAACTTTTAATGATCGCTAATCACATAGTTGATGACAAATTGACAGTTTGACAGCTGTCATATTAACTGTTAACTTATTGACAACTTAACATCAAATTTGTCACCAATAACACCGAAAACCCTTTTATTGAAATTTTTTTTAAAACAAATAACTTTTTATAAAACTTGACACTTGATTTGACAGCTGTCAAATTATAATATGAATTAAAAAAATTATCAATTTTACCTTAAATTCTATACCAGCCGATCTGAAAATATTTTACTTTCATTTTAGAACGAAAAGATTCAGCAAACTTGACAGTTTATTTGACAGCTGTCAACTGTAATTTATAATTTACAGTTGTTGGACAAAGTATCATGTGCTATTCGTGGAGAACAGCGATTCTCGCTTGCTCGATTGCTGCGCGCGCTTCGCTTGCGCAGCAAACTTCGAGCTCGCGAGAAATCGCCCTTGTTCTCCACTCGTTGCACAATATACTATTAAAGTCAAAAAACTTTTTCATCTGGTGACTACAGTTATTTAAAACCTCCAATTTTCATATTTTTGAGGTCGCTGGAAACGAATCCGATGTCAGAATTCAAAATGTCGGATGCAAAATGCCAGATTAATTTTTTTAATTTAATAAATTTAACTGAATTTTGATGAATGTTGTTACTCGGGAGTTTTTGGGGTCACTGAATACGAATACGAGGTCAAAATTCAATAATTCAAAATGGCGGATGATTTAAAAAAAATTACTGTAATGAGCTGAATGTCATCACTCGAGGGTTTTTGGGGTCCGAAAAATCTTATGTGTCCTTAAGTGATGGGGGTAGGGGGGGAAAAATTGACTAAAATCGTATATATCGATATTGAATGACCCCTTAGTACTCTTCAATGAGAGCATCGTAAATTATAACATTAAGAATATAAATACTCACAGTATGATATTTGTGCAAGTAGTCTCTGTTAGGACTATGATGTGATTTTGGAGTAGAACGACCACTAAGTGGTGGAGAAGAACGTTCCAAACTTCTACCTCTTGATAATAAATTCATATGTTCTAGACTTCCAACTCTAGATTCTAATTCTTCCGCCCTTGCTTCCGTATTCTGTTTTTCTTCCTGAAAAAATAAAATGTAGAGTCAAGAATCAGTGTATCAAAAGTCATGATTTATATTCATAAAACAGACTGTAACTGGCACTGCCAATGCAACTACCTATTCATAAAACTTAACATTAGTGATACTTCAACCTTACACTGAGGCATTCTTTGAGAAAAAAGCCACCTTAAAAAAATTTTTTTTGTCAATAAAATATGTTAAAGTATATATAAAAACAAGTATGTAGAGTAGGTTTATAGGTATGTGTAATGCGTCGTTGCCATGTTATCAGGGGCTACATTTTTTTGCAGCATAATTTTCAAATTGCAATATCTTTTTTCCATATCAATGGATTTAATTGTTCTACAGGTGTTTTTTGTAGAGAATTTTCTAAACTTTCAAATTAAATTACTGATTATTTAAAAAAATGTAGTTTTATCTAAAAAAAATAAAATTTTTTTTTAATTTCCCTCCCCTCCTTTTTATCCCTTTCAAATTTTTTCAAAAATATCCTGAAATTTTCCTTATTTTATAAACTTTTTACCACCTAAGTTTCATTTTGGGACATTGAAATGCGTACAAGCGACAGATGAATATGTAACGTGGTGCAACTCATCAATTTTGCCTCTATTATTATCATTTTTACCATAGTGTTGTGCAGTGACTGTCATTTAGAAAATTATTAGTAAAATACATTTTTTTAAACATGTGAAGTAGGTGTTTTACCTTGCACTATTAAAAATTCATTATATACAAAAATTCTAGACTTCAAATCTATGTTTATTTACTGTAAAAATACTGAATTACCATGTTAATGTACACAAAGATGGTGATAAGAGGAATGTAGCTAACTACAGACCAATAGTTATATTCAGCTCTATTTCCAAAATCTTTGAAAATATAGTTTTTGACGAATTTTATAGATTAACTGAACATTTAATTATTGATTAGCAGCATGGCTTTATGAAGCGCCGATCAGTATTGACATTGTTTACAAACTTCACATTTACAAATCTTGAAAAGTCAACTCAAGTCGACTGTATATATACCGATTTTGCTAAAGCCTTTGATAAGGTCGATCACGCAATACTGGTGGCAAAGCTCGAGGCTCTTGGCTTCTCTCGCAACGTGATCTGGTGGATAGAGAGCTATCTCGCGGATAGATTTTTGTCCGTTCGTGTCGAATATGACTTTTCAGAAATTTTTTTGGCAACTTATGGTGTTCCTCAGGGTTTGCATCTGGGTCCACTTTTTTTCTACTCTTTATTAACAATATACACTCTTTATTTAAACATAGTTTATTTCAACTTTTCGCTGACGACCTTAAGTTATATATATCTATCACTTGTAAACAAGACTGTACTAATCTTCAGGTTGATCTTAGAAGGCTTGTTGATTGGTCCATCTTAAAAAAGCTTTTTTTAAATATTAAAAAGTGTTATGTCATCTTATTTACTAAACATAAAAAATTTTTTGAGCATTGCTACAAAATGAGTACAGAAGATATTTCTAGAGTGACCATGGTGTGTGTCCTTGGGGAACATTAGTTTCTAGCATGGATTTTAATACACACATATATGTCAAACTATTAATAAGGCCAATAGAATCCTGGGCTTTTCCATCCGTAATATTTCTTTTTTTACAAACATTTTGGCCTTTAAAAATACTTTTTTCTCATTAGTTAGACCTATTATCGAGTTTGCTTCTCTTATTTGGCAACCTTATCAAGATTCACTACTAATTGAACTTGAACGTATTCAAAATAGATTTTTACGTTTTCTGGCGAGACGGGCAGGCTTGCCTTTTGACTATTACAGTCATGAATATTCTGACCTTCGACGAACTTTGCGTATTCCATCAATTAAACAAAGATTTTTGTACAACGATTTACTTTTTCTTTTTAAAATTATAAATGGTATTATAAATTGCCCTGCGCTTTTGTCGTTAATGAATTTGTTTGTTCTTATTAAACCGGTTAGATATCCGATATTATTGAAGCAAACTCTACACATGTTTATTACTAAGCTACGAAAACTTGTATACCATTACGATTAAACTGTTATTATATTCGCTTAATTTTTATATTTTGTTAATTTTCAACTCTTTATTATAAGTACAATTGTACGAAAAGGCACTGCCCGTAAACGTGGTAATAAATAAATAAATATAGGTATTTTACTTATTCCCAACACTTCATGTGATAAGAATATCACAGCTTTTATAGAATTTAGTTAATATCAGTTAAATTATATACAGTAAATAAATATATTTACTTTACTGTTAGATGTAATATATACATATTAATAACTCGGAATAAACTGAGAAAAATAATTTCGTAATAGTAAGAAAATAATTTAGTTCCGCATTTTAAGTTAGCGTTACTAAAATATGGTTGTCACAACAGAATAGAAAGTGACAATAAATCGGAAAGTTTAGTTGGCTCTATCAAAAAATATATTTAAAGCTTTTATGTTTACGAACTAAATAGTTTGATTACCAGTACTCACACCGTGCCTGAACCAAAAAAAAGTTTGACTAAAATGAATCCAAAATCGGGTTTTTGGGGATCATTCTACATCATATCAGAACTAAAAATCCGTTGAGATCAAAATCCTAGCTGCTCCTTTTTTCGAGATATCGGTATTTTCGTTTATTGAATTTTGCGAATATTTTAAAAACACTCACTTTGGAACTTGTAACTACATGTAGGCAAACAAAGCTTACAAAAAGTATCGTAAATATATTTTTCATATGTATATACATATAAAAACCTTTAAAATAAAACCTCAATGAAGAAAATTGGTTAATATTTGTCAATATATTAGGTTTTTTTATATTGAGCTCAATTAAGAGTCGATTTAAAATTTTTTTGATATTTTAGGTCATACCTATTTCCAAATCCTACATATTTATGTTAAATATATTTTTTATATTTTAATACTTTTTGCACAACAAATTAATTTATATGATTCAGAAAGAACGAAACAATAAGATTTTTTATTGCAACTGGTAGAGAATGATGTTCATAAAATATCGTAAGCAAAATAACAAGTTGAATACTTTTCAAACTGAGCAATAGATTTAAAACTTTGAAACAAAAAAGTATATAAATGGATATCTTGCATGAATTATAATAATCAGTATAATACATCTCACTTAAAATTAAAAATAACGAGATAAAAATTCGACAATTGTTCACATAAGTCTCAATGGATATTTCTCATCTTTGAATTCATTTTGTTTAGATCCTAACTTTTAAAAATCCACGATGGACCAATTCACTAATCTGTTCAAAAGAATATAACATATTTAAAAAAAATATATGTTATATTTTTTTGAACAGATTAGTGAATTATAGAATTAAAAGAATAAAATAAAAAGAATATAATTAAAAGAATATAACATATTAAAAAAAATATATGTTATATTCTGTTGAACAGATTAGTGAATTGGTCTATCGTGGATTTTTATAAGTTAGGATCGAAACGAAATGAATTCAAAGATGAGAAATATCCATTGAGACTTATTTATACTAACAATTGTTGAAATTTTATCTCGTTACTTTATAGTGAGTTGTATTATACTGATTATTATAGTTCATGCAAGATATCCATTTATATACTTTTTTGTTTCAAAGTTTTATATCTATTGCTCAGTTTAAAAATTATTCAACTTGTTATTTTGCTTATGATATTTTACGAATATCATTCTATACCAGTTGCAATAAAAAATTTTATTTTTTCGTTCTTTTTTAAATCATATATATTAATTTGTTGTGCAAAAAGTAGGGTCAGTTGCGGTAAATGGGGACAAGAGGTTTTGGAGCTTAATTTACAGTTTTAAAATTAAGTTCAACGTCAATATTTTAACCTCAGATCACCTGCAAGAGGTTCTGAATATTGCCAAGCTTTTATCTTGACAATTGGCAGCAAGATAAAAAAAGTTATCGCTCAATCCATAAGAACTTGAAAATCAAAGTCAAACTATTTCAGTATTTTGTCGAGCATTTCAAAGAAAACAGACTTAAAAATCATACCAAATTTTTTTCTTATTCCTTATGACTCCCATAACAGAAATTCACTTTAGTTTTTTATTTTTATAAATTTGGTTAATAATAACAAGCTGTCCTCATTTACCCTGAGTTTTCAAAATTTTGGGTTAAATGGGGACAGCTTGTCATTATTATCCAAATTGACAAAAATGAAAAATTCAAGTGAATTTCTGTTATAGGAATCATAAGGAATAAGAAAAAAATTTGGTATGATTTTTAAGTCTGTTTTTTTTCAAATGCGAGACAAAATACTGAAATGAAAAAAAAATAAAAAAAATGAAAAAATTTCAATTGGTTCAACTATTATATATCTACTACAAATTTTTTTCAAGTTTTTTCATCCCTTAATACAGTAATATACTTAAGAAAACTTTTTTCTTAAAACTTTTTTAGAAATTATGCTGTCCCCATTTACCCCAAATTTTATGAAATTTTCTAAATTAAATCATGCGTTTAAAGCTTATCTAAATTTTTTTCTGCTGCATAAAATTAATCCTGGGAATGTAAATAACAACTTAAAAAAAATAAACCCATAAATATTACCTTTTAAAGAAAGAAATTTACGTAATATTTGAAAAATAGCGATTTTGTCCCTATTTACCCCAACTGACCCTATTAAAATATAAAAAATATATTTAACATAAATATAAAGGGATTGGAAATAGGTATGACCTAAAATATCAAAAAATTCAAAATCGACTCTTAATTGAGCTAAATATAAAAAAAACCTAACATATTGACAAAAATTAACCAATTTTCTTCATTGAGTTTTTATTTTAAAGGTTTTTACATGTACAGTGCCGCTCAGTAGATTTTGCCCACCCTACAGAATTTTGGGCAAATCATCACATTTTATTTTCACATATATCATTGGAAAGGTAATTTTATCACCTTTAAAACGCTTTTTTGAAAATTGTTATACGATAATTTTTAACAAAGATATGGTCAATTGTTTAAAAAAACAGCCCTT